TAAATGAATAATTAAAACACTTTTTTCTAGTTTTTAGAAATCGAAATCAATTTTAATTCTAAGGACAAAATGATTAGTCTAAAGTCCAGTGTTGCCAATGTTCATGTAACCATATTACCTAAAATATGGGAAATTGGGTTGACATTAACTTCAATCTATTATTTATTATTCTTTTTTATCAGATTTCCTTAAGAAAATGTAGTATGGAGAAATTACTGGAAAATTAATGATTTCCAAACAAATATGTAGTAGTGTCATTTTGTACTATATTAGTTAACACTGGTTTAATTATGATTTAAATAAAAGACTTCTATTCCATGTTGAATTTATTAATTGAAAAGTCACTGTCACAGATTACTGAGTATTCACATAAGTGTCATCAAATGTTGCCATACATATATCACACACATTTTTAGTCTTCATTTTGAAGTTCAAGACTTATACAGGGTGAAATTGAATGTTTTAATGAAACTTCGTGGGAATGTTGGGTTACGTATATAGAGTATCTCTGAATTTTTTTGGATTTTTTAAAAAATTATTTAAAATAAAATTTTGTTTTTTTTTTGTTATATTTTAAGTCCTTTCCTCCTTTTGGGTACTAAATAATTATTCTTTTAAAACATGCATACAGAGTAAGTAAAAAACAAGTAATAAGCAATACTAAAAAAGACGTAAAAACAGGAGATGGGCGGCCGGGAGCAATGACCGCTCCCGCCGTTGAATACCTTCCTGCCTACCTATCTAGGTATGCGCGGTGCACAGCGCAGTGAGCGAGCGGAGTCTCAAGCGCGCGTGCGTATCTTTTAAATTTGTGACAAGACAAGATTTGCAAATAATGCCTTGATTAGTTCTTGTTCTGTGCTCTCAATATAAGAATTTGGATATGGTGTGTTGTTATTGCGAGTGTCACGGAATACTCAGCAGAGCCACAAGGCTTTACGAAAGTAGGTTTGGTGATTTATTGGGAAGTTATAGAGAAAAAAATTAATAGGTACATCGGTCTCGTAAGTACTTTTGAATACCTGGTAATAAATTTCATTCTGACCCAAGTATTGAACTGCAATAAGTATTTCTTTTTGTTTAACTTTTGCCTATTTCCAATCGTGACAAAATTATTATTAACTTTTTAAGTTTTTCTCTGCTTAAGAGAAGATGACATTTGTGCTTATTATTTCAATTTCAATAAAGGCATCTGAGACGATTTTATTGTATTGTGGAATCAAACGAGTCAGCTGAGCTCTGTGTACGTACCTACTCACTCAACGGCTGGCGGGCGCGGTCGGTCGTTGACCCGCGGTGAAATTTTACTGTTTTTCCGTTTGTTAGAAGTGCTTATTTATTAGTTGTATTTCACTGGATATGTAAGCATGTTTGTTTAATATGAATAACTACTCAAAAGGAGGAAAGGACAAAAAAATACACAAATTATAAATAAATACATGAAAAAAAATACTTCAAAAATATCAACAGGCATACTCTATACTCGTAACCCAACAATCTCACGAAGTTTCATTAAAACATTCAATTTCACCCTATATACAACTAAAGGAGGACTCCGGCGTGTTATTACGTATGCATTACCTCAAAAGGTTGATTAAAATTTTTAACCGACTTCGAAAAAAAAGAGGTTCGCAATGCGTCATATTTGTTTTTTTTTATTGTTGTTCGCGCAGATCTCCGAGATTCGTGGACCGTTTATAATGATTCTTTTTTTGTTTTAATCAGTTTACTAGCGAGATGGCTGCATATTAATTTACTGGAGATCTGATGAGTACTTTCGGAGGAAAACAATGGAACTCCTCAATTACAAACAGTACTCAATGGGTGTTAGTTTATTTTAAGAAATATGAAAGAGAATGCAGGTCAGGCCATCTATATTTAGTTGATTTACCCAATATTGAGAAAATTCGATATATTCTAGAATTTCTTCTGAGTCCCGACTGTTAAAGTAACTTTGTTCTAGACTACTGGACTTGTTTTTTTCTTTTTAGTACATTTTATTTATTTACGACAATTTAATTTCATTTTTTTTAATTACACGAGTTGTATATTTTCTAAATATTCTTTTAAAACCCTTCACTTTAATACCTCGCTTGACGGGTTATAAAAATACTTATACTTTTTTTGCAAAATGTTTCATTTTGGCGCATAAAATCTGTTATTTTGATTTTTTGAAATTTTAAAATACCCAGTGCCACTCACACAATCACGACAAATCATATGACACCTCGCATGTCAAAATCCGTCAAGACGTTCAGGCTGTAGGGCGTGCCAAATTATTGGACATACATAAATACATGCATACATACGCTCGAAAAACATTATCCTCCGCAGTCGGGCAAAAAGTAAAATTTTGAACAATCAAAATATTTTCACCTTTTTACTGTGTTTTATTGGTAAAAAATTGGCTAACCTAGCAACCCTACAATTCACTCACTCATCAATAGCCGCCGCCATTACGGTGCCTCAGTTTTGTCTTAGCCGAAACTCTGTCCGCCTTTTTTTATACGTCCATGGAATCTAATAATATTTTACCAAATGTTCAGTATGGCTTTAGACGTGGCAGGAGCTGTGCAGAAAGCTTCATTTCTCTTATAACAGACCTGAAAAATGCAAAACCATATAAAAGTGTAGCATGTGCCTTTCTTGATATTCAAGGTGCATTTGACAACATTCAACCAGGAGTTCTTATTCATATACTATCTGGCTTAGGTATACCTGGCTTATTGTGTAAATGGATTCATAATTTTCTGACTAATAGGACACTTTATGTTAAATATAATAATACATTACATGGACCAAGAACTGCTTCTAAAGGCACAATGCAAGGGGCCATTTTGTCCCCTTTGTTATATAATCTCTATACATGTGAAATTTGTAAATATGTAAATACCAACTGTGTAAATATTCTCCAATTTGCAGATGATCTAGTTTTATATAGTATAGACTACAATGTGGACTCTGCTATTAAGAATGTAAATATAGCCTTAAGCAATATAAAAACTTATTATAATGATAAACTTCTGTTAAAAATAAACCCGAGAACAAGCAATGCAATGATATTTAGTAAAGATTTACCATCTACTGCAGTTATGATTGACAACCAAGTTATACCGGAAGTCAACCAACATAAATTCCTTGGAGTTCTTATTGATAAAAAATTGTCATTTATATATATTTTATCAATATGAGGTCATATTGAACATGTTATATCTAAATCATTAAAAGGATTAAATGTTATTAAATGCCTAGCTGGAGTTACATGGGGCGCCGATCCCATAACTCTTTCGGTTTTGTACAAAGCTATTGTTAGAAGTCACTTTGACTATAGTTGTATAGCTTATGTAAATTGTAAAAATGTAAATAAATAAGACATTATACAGAACAAAGCTTTAAGGATCATATCTGGGGCAATGTGCTCTACACCTATCAGAGCCATGGAAGTGGAAACCGTAATAATGCCGCTATCACTTAGGAGATTACTTTTAATAGAGAGATTCTTTATAAAATTGCTTTCTTCAAACAATATGCAAGTGATAAATAAAATAATACCACAATCAGCTTTGGCAACGTATTGTGATCTGCAGATAGGTACATCCTCTAAGTTGTCAGATATTCTATTCTACTTACAAAATAAATATCATAGATTACAAAAGAAATCATTATGGCCCTTTTATTCAAATCACTTTCTTATTCAGATGAATGAAATTAGGATTATTGAAAGTCTAATTTTCAATAATCAAGACCTACTAGCCTTTTTAGATGAGCATCACTATTACACTTTATATACAGATGGTAGTAAATCAAACTTATATGTTAGAAGCTCTGTTTATGACCCCCAGATCAAATTCTCGCAAAGCTTTGTTCTTGATAATGCATGTAGCATATTTACAGCAGAGGCGTATGCAGTCCTAGAGGCTCTTAAGCGAATTTTTACTGTAAATAACTATAATTATTTTCTCATTTTAACCGATTCTCTTAGTTTGATTAAAAGTTTAGAATGTCATAAAGTTCATTACAAGATTAATTATATTCTGTATAGTATTAGAGAGCTTGTACATAGGTTACTTCTGAAAGGAATTGAAGTTTCTTTTATGTGGATACCATCACACAAAGGTATCACTGGAAACGAAATAGCTGATAGGACTGCACATGATGGGATCAATTCTATGGACGTGAGTTTCTTAATATCTGTACCTTTTACTGATTATTATACTGAAATACGGAAGGATATTTATCAATTGTGGAATAAATTGTGGAAACAAGATCAACAAAATAAATGCAAATGGTATGGAAGCATACAAGAGAAGATACCTTCTAAGCCATGGTATGCAACGCTGAAAATAGCCAGCCGTGACTTTATCACCACAATAAATCGCCTGCGATTTGGCCACCACAAAACACCAGCTCATTTGGGAAAACTGAAGATAATATCTGATAGTATGTGCCCGTATTGTAATACTGCTACCGGTGACATATATCATTTGATATTTGAATGCTGTCAATTTAGTATTCAACGGCTTTTATTAGCAAGCGAACTCTGTGAAATAAGTGAAAATGTAAGTAATGTCTCCCGCCGCCTAGAAGACTACTTGAAAAATCCCAAGAATTTTCCTATACTATTCAAATATGTGAAAGCCACTTTAATAAACATTTAGATAAAGAATCAGGAATAGACGAAGACGTGGCTTGAAGAACCAGCATCCAAGCCATAAAATTATTATAAAAAAAACATCTTCTCAAATCTTCTGTCATTGAGTTGTCATTCCATCTGTCGTCTGTGTTGATTGTAAGGTGTTAGGAAATTTTGTTATTTTATCGATTTGCACAGTAAAAATCGAAAGAAATAAAATTATGCAAATTATTGTTTAATTAAAAACGTATACTACACGTTTTTGTAATGAAATATGACGATTACACAATATGCCACTTGCGTCCTAATCGTCGAAATTAAATACATTGTGTGATATAGTGCAAATTTTAATACATTCTATAAAAAAATGGATTGGATAATTTCTGATGAGTTGGGGCTAACTGTTGGCCACCTCGTGGGCTGGGGGGCAGCAGGTGCTATGATTGTAGGTGGTGTAGCCCCATACATCCCTCAATATCGACAAATAAAAAGGACTCAAGATGCTGAAGGCTTTTCGTTATATGTTTGCTTGGCACTTTTAATTGCAAACACTTTAAGAATTTTGTTTTGGTAAGTAATCAATTCACAATGGTCACATTCTTTCCTTGGTTGTAAAACTACTTAGTTTTTATGGAATGTAAACTCCTGGTCCAATAGTTTTGTTTGAATTTGTATGTCTTTAGTTTATAAGAGTCAGTCGCCTTTAAATATCCTATTTATTTTTACAAAATATACCTTTATTTCAGGTTTGGTAAACGATATGAATTACCCTTATTAATACAAAGCATTGTTATGAACTTCACAATGTTTGTTATGATTCATTTATGTGTAACAGTTCGTAAAAAGAATCAGATTATAAGAGCAAGGGAGCGAATATTTACAGGTAATCTGCCATTCCTACCAAATCCTTGGGTATATATATAGCTGTGGTAAAAATGTTAAAAATCTTTTTTAATTTTATTTAGTATCTCTATAATACTAGCGGGTCCCTGCTATAGTAAATTTGCTGATTTTCAACAATAAAATTATTCCTTATCCTAATAATAATTAATATATTTCAATATTTTTTATATTTAATTTAGGATTAATGATTTTTATGTTATAATTATATTTTTGTATAAAATTAATTTTCTTTGATCTTTTACTAATTTTTATTTATTTTATTTTCCTCTATTTATTATTATTTTATGTTCCGTTTGGTGGTTGGTGTAATGATGGTGACATTAGGTGCGATATTCATGTTATATATACTGTTGTGTTGTGTGAATGGATCAGACCAGCCGGATGAAACTGCTCGCTGGTTGGACCAACGTAGCGGGGTAGCAACTAGAGAAAAACCACACCGCTTTTATGGTAAGTGGCTAAATGCTTCTGAATGTTTGGTGTATATCAAAATGCTTTTTGTTCACATTGAGATTTCTTATTATTTTTGTTTCAGTATCCAATTACCATCATGCTTTGACATTATTACATATGGATAAGAATTGTGATTATTGTGGATCTTTATTTTGGAATGCATATTGTTTATGATGTTCAAGGGTTATTAAAAATTGTTTCTTATAATTTCATTTTAATTTTGCTTCTGTCATATTTTGGAGTGCATGCATGCAAAAATGGAAGTGTCATTAATTGTTATGTCAGAAATATGGTATTTTTAATTTTAAACAAAAATATCAAGTGTATGTTGGGTCACTCACATACTATGTAGGGTTCCGTAGTAGTAGCGCAAATATTAAATTTACAGGTAGCATTTCAATCACTTTTGAGCAGTATCTGTGCTGACACTTATGAGTGCTGACCTCGTAAATCCATGCATTATTATTGTAGTTTTTTTTAATTTTTTATATAGTTCATAAATAGGGAATATGCATGTAGTTCAAATAGGGCTCAATGTTTTTATTTTATTATAATCTCTATTACTTTTGAATTGTTCCTCCATCAATTTTTTTTTAATTAACTTTTTTAATAAAATAGTAATAATTATTGAAAAGTGCGAAAGACCTGTAGGTAATTCTCAAATATTTGAATCACCAAACTGCGACAAAGCGGTTGTGACATAGAAGTCCATTACAACAAATCGACAAATAAGGGCCATGATATATTACAAGATAATATGTCAAAGTCAATGAGTGCGTAGTGCGCGCATCTCTTATCTATTAGACAAGTCCGTCCGTCCGTCCGTCCGTCCGTCCGTCCGTCCGTCCGTCCGTCCGTCCGTGGTGCTGTTTCAGCGGGAAAACCGTAAGAGATAGATAAAGAGAATGTTTAAGTTATAAGTTGAGAATAGTCTGATAAGACTACAAACTGGATGTGAGTAACGTAGCACTTCCGGTTTTCGAGAAATCACGTGATTTCTATTTCAAACGAAACCACACAAAATCTCCGAAGTTCTCAATTAATTAAATACATTTTTTTTTTTGGTGAACATTTGGTTCACTGGTTTGCTAGTATAACCTCTAATCGAACAGTCACATCACCAAATGTGTGCAAATAAAAATAGCCACCTTATTTTTATATTTTTTACTAGACACATTCTATTTTTTTCGACATTGTATTTTTTTATATATTAAGGCGATTTAAAGTTGATAGATATTTAAATAATTGATTCCCATCATGTACACCACACAATTTCGATTAAACAAATAGAAGAATTAATAACTAAATATGTAACTGTGTGCTGCAACAACAGAAAAAAGGTAAAACTTCAGTGATACCTTTTGCTATGAGAGAAAAGCACTTGCTTTCAGGTCTGCCTAGAAAGCGCGTAACACAAAACGACACTGACGTGATTTAAACAAATAGATTGTTTAAATATTATTGTTATAATTATATCTGTTATTATTATTACATCACCAAAAATTTTGATTGTTATTATTACTCTTTTAGTAGTACATAAAAATTATAAAAAAATGTGTATTACTCAGTGGACAACCTTTGTATTGGAGTCTTATATGTACACCACCAGTTTTTCAAAGTGTCGCAGACTCTGAGACCTTTGTCAGAATCTTAATAAGGGAAATATTAAAAAAAAAACCTTTAACTTATTATATATTATTCTTTATATATTTATTTATATAAATATGTATCATTATATTGTAACGCTGCCTTCTACCCCTCAAACGGTGATGTGCCACGTGAGCGTTCGCTTCGCCGACTCACTGACCCGCAGCCTCTTTCTGAAAAATGACACCCTTAGAAGGAGATTACCGCCTGTCAGGATCTATCACTACCGCGAGATACCGCCATACTGTAGCAACCAGAGTGCAGCGCTGCTGATGCCACGCTGAACACTCCACAAGGATGCCCTTTGCAGTACCTTAAGCAGTGCGGCACTCGAGGCACGAGTGGGTTGCCTCCCCTCGGATCTGATACAAATACTTTCCAAAGCACCTTCGCTTGGAAAACACATCCACCAGTTGGACAGTTTACAAGCCCCTTCGCCTCCCCAGACTTTGTTCTGGGGAGGCTTCCTTGGAATCGCTTCTTTTGTCCGGGCACCGACCGAAGTCATCTCCGGGCACTGGAACTATTGCTCCATCTTCTTCTGTCTAGCCTGGCCCCAGCTCCTCTAGCGCAAGATTCTACCTTCGCTCTCTCGTCTCTATTATCTCTCCGATTCCTTCGCCAAGATCCGTGCCTCCAGGTCCCACGGATGTATCCCGGCATCACACACGCACCTGCCGACGACACCGTGCGATATCCCCTAATGTCCCTGGTGAACCGTAACCCCTAAAGAAGCCTTGGGAGAAGCGGCCTGCACTCCTACTAATTTAAGCTGCGGACGGACGGGCATAGCGAAACATAAGTATTCCTTGTTGAATCGAAACCCAAAATATTGTTTTGGGATAATAAATATCATTACAGTCCCCGTAGCATGAGCACCACAATTTACATTATATCACATTTTTTATCGCGTCTAACTGTCAAACTCTATAGTAATTTGACCATTGAGCGTGATAAAAACGCGTTACATATCATATCGAATATGATATGCAACGCGTATATCATATTCTGCGAACGCCACGCAGGTAGGCGCGCAATGCTTAACAAACAGTCTTAAAAGTTAAGTATTAGATGTACAATGAAATAATAAACACAAATAAAACAACAACATTAGAAATAATAAAATACAGTGTGAGCTACATTAACTTTAATATTATAAAAGCAAGTCGATCGTGGCTTTAGTATTAGCTAGTTAAAGTTAATTAGATTTTTTGTTAGTCTTATAGAAATATTTAACTTTAAATGAATTACTACTAAAAACCGCTGCCAATATTAATTTTAAATACAGTTAGGTACCTACTATTGGTACTTTCTTTATTTATAAGTAATACTGTCAAAAACCCTGTTAACATAATATATTACATAAGTTTGGATTGCAAATAACTTCTCTATTGTGGCCTATTTTTCTCTATTTTTGTTTGCAATTTTAGTACTTAAATATTTGTATTCATTGCCAACTTAATTCTATCGTTAACAATGAAATCATTCCTATGCTCATTTCCATTTGTAATGAAAAAGGATATATTTTCCTGTTGATTATTGTGGATCTTTACTTACTTGTACACTAAATTATAAATCGAAAACCTTTTTTTGTAAGTACTGTAATAAGAAAACTTTATCTTGTATAGGAAACCCATATATAAACTTAAGTGGCTCATAACAAATTATAAGATACTAGCGGACCCGACAGACGTTGTCCTGTCTACACGTCTTTGTGAATCTAAACCATTCTCAGATCCCCTTGAAGACACACAAAAAATTTCATCAAAATCGGTCCAGTCGTTTAAGAGAAGTTCAGTGACATACACACTCACAGAAGAATTATATATATAAAGATTAATAATATCTATAGGGATGTTATTACCTACTTCCAATTAAACAACATTTAAATTATGTGTTCCTGTTAAGACATTAAACGACGACTTTACCACTGTTAATTATATTGTTCTACGTATTAGTACCTTCGTGTAACATAAAATTTATGTTGCTCGCTCGATATTAATTACGTAGAAAGATATATTGATAAATGGTTCAACGTTCTTAGTTATTATCTGTTAAATATTTATTTTAACAAATTATTGTTTATTATTAGAGCAACACTCGGGCCAAATCGGTTGTTATCTTTGCTCTGAAACAAGATTTTCTACTGCCTGGGCGCGCGTATGCTTAGAAACTTATTATTATGAATGTTAAAATTAAATATATTTGTAACTAATAAAACTTGTGGCTTGAGGGCTGTGAGACCCAAAGGATAGTCACAATCGCCAGCACTTATGCTGTCGTCGTTTGCCTAGCTTTTTCGCTTCTCAGAAATAAGTATAAAAGTTTTGTATTTTTTAATGAAAGATTTTATACTTACTTGTGAATTTCATAAAAACAAAGCCGAAAAGTTTTTTAGAATGTTTAAAATATCAATATAAACTTCTTATACTTGCTTTTGTTTTTATGAAGACGGTTTTAGATTTAGTTCAAATGGTTTTAAAAAATACTTAGAACTATCATAATCGGTCCACAAATCTCGGGGTTATTCATATAACTATTAAACAGACTGGCGAAATGAGAATGCCTTTTTGAAATTAGTAAAATATGAATATAATAGGTTTTAAATTAGAGGTTCAAGGGCATCGTCCATTAGAGTCACGCACCCGGCACTCATTGCCGACGGGTAGTCAACTTTAAGGATAGACCGTATGCAGGTAAGTCATCGCCAATTCAACTCACTTTCTCAACAAGTGAATATCGCGTAGACGACGTGTGAATATCGCGAGTTCAACGAGTTATTTTCGCGTGGTCTACGGATGGATATTGCGTGGACAGCGCATGGTTTACTCGTTACCCGTCTAACCTTAAATTCCTAACCTACCTAATTATTTTATTTTATTTATTTATTAATCATGAATAAGTCTTAACAGAATTTAAACTAAATTCACATTATTAGGAAGTTTCTTGATTAATATGACAGTGTGCATGTACTCGTTAATATTCAACTCATGAAACATTGAATGCATCGTTGCTTATAACTATGGTGTTGTTGTACTGGTTTCACTACTAATAGGTACCTATTTATATGATCATGTGCCACATATAAAGCATCTTGAAAATCCCATTTGCCTTAGCAACTAAACGAAGGTCGAAGATGTGATGCTATATCTACTTTTATGTTAAACTCATTTCACCACCATCAATACGGCAAGCCACGCGGTTACAATGAAAACAATTAAAATTAAGTCTAACTATATAATGTAAAATTACTTATTATATACGTGGTATTTTGAGAAACCATTTTGCGGTTTTTTTAACGAGATGTTATGATCAAGCTACTTTTACACTATCTTGGTAAAATTCGTTGGTATCAAGCAATATAAATTTCGATAGTGATACTGTCCCCAGCTATAAACCCATAGAATAAAATGTAAAAAGGTTAGTTTTTTTGCCTTTTTGGCAAATATCTTCTTCTATTATCTTTAATAATACCATTAAGATTTTGAGCCACGATTATAAACAGGGCAATGCTTGAATTATATCTATAATATTTAGTATTTTGTCTCAGCTATTCCAGCTTTAGTCCTAGGATTTATGGAACCGTAGTCCTAACTCATTTGTCTAATATTATATTGCTAAATTAAAGCAATCTGAAAACTACAATTTCAGACATGGAGAGGAAGTATTTCTGGGCGTGGACGGACTTCCAGAGCTACTTGGACTGCATGCTGGTATTCTCTGTATTCGGGGCTGCGGTCACGTACCTCTTGATTGAATTCTCGCCATTTGTCGAGTTGATCGGCTTCCTAGCCGTGTTTACGGAAGCGATGCTCGGTGCCCCACAGATAGCGAAGAATCATCAAAACAAAAGCACCGAAGGAATGAGGTATTTGCTTATTATGTACTTTGTTAATAAATAAATAAATATTTCCAACACTCACACCAATTAGCCTAGCCCCAAAGGAAGCACTGTAAGGCTTGTGTTATGGGATACTAGGGTAACGGTTAGAATACATATATGGTACATATATATAAATATATTTATATAGAAATACATATTAAACATCCATGACTGGTGTACAAAAGCTCGTATTCATCACACAAACATTTGTTTGCACCCTGAGTGGACAAAAAATGACAATCAAAGAATGACTCAGCATTTTACTTTGTAGTAAAATTAGCGATTCGCCCGACTTCCCACGAGCGCAGTTAACTAATGATTCTATTAATCATTAGAGATACCTAGAAGAGATAACCATACAAAAATAAGTACCACCTAAATATCTGAATTTTCAAGTGTAATCTTCATACAAACCTTGTTTAGGCGAAGAAATACAACTAATTAATTCTAAGAATCTTCTAGGTATATATACCTAGAAGATTCTATTTTTTGGCGTCATTGTATCTGTGTACAACTAAATAAATGTTCATTGGTAGGTATTGATAAAATTATTCTGTAGCACGGTAATATTATATACCATTATTTATAATATTACCCTGCTACAGCGCTCACTACTCATAGTTCAAGATCCCACTGCCGCCAGACCTTACTTATTTTCTGATGGACAAATATGGATAATCGAGTTGTATTAGTGTGTACAATTAACGTATACATACTCGCTAACTTGGCCTGTGAGCTAATTTTCAGGTATCGGGTCTGAGGACGAATTCTTACGTATGTTGTAGAGAATATGTAATCAATTTGAAATTAATACAAATGTAGACAAAGAATCAGTCCTCACATCAGTCTTTAAGTAAAGTATGTATTTTTTTTACATTACTACCTGTGCCACCTCATACCTGATAAAATTGGCCCACAGCACAAGTATACGTATCGTTCGTTCGTTGTTTTTCAGTTGAGTTGTTGACGTAGATATTTATTTTTAGTCTTGAATTACTGACTACCCAAGGCATTAAGTACTTGCAAGGTTAGAGAAAGAAAACCCTGACAAGTGTGAGACGAACTTGCCCACAAATGGTTCCGTACAAAGGACATGGTTAAGAAACTGCCCTTAACATGTATTATACATGTTTCGCACTAGCCCGTAACATTCAAATATTTTTGAAGTTATACTTCTTTAGGCGCGTTATAAAAAAATTATGAGAGTGAAATTTTAAGATGCGCGCGCATCTGTAACACCAACTTCATGTGCCGCGCTGCCATTACCGCGTCGCCCGCCGCACCGTACGCATGCGCGGCCACTCGCGGTCCTAGCGCGGGAAACACGTACAACAAACATCGGGAAAAGTTACGAGTTTTGAATTTAGAACAGAGACTGTTTTCATATCTATATATATAAAAATGAAACCCGTTTTCCGTTGTCACGACATAACATGAAAACGGCTTGACCGATTTCGCTGTTTTTTTTTTGTAGTTTTCTAATACTCTGTACAAGGTTCTTACGGAAAAAAATATAAAGAAAATCCCAAGGGGATAAAATAAGGAATGAAAGTTTGTATGAAACTTTATCAATTTTAAACCGATCGGGCTGAGACTTTGCATGCAGGTATAAGAAGAATCATAGATGAATGTCATTGTGTATAATACAAGCCTGAGAACAAAAACTGTAGTCTACACTTCAGCTCTACACCGAAGCGAAGCGAAGGCGGGCCGCTAGTTTATAATATTTATCCACATGTTCCTAGTTTGTATATTCGGAATACGTGTTTGAGTTTCATACAAGTGCAAATCACATATGTTCTAATAAATTATATTCAGTAGCGATTTTAATTGAATATTTTGATTATTTATTTATTTTTTCAAATTAAAACTGAACTTTATTGACTGTGTCCTTTTCCAGACTTTTTATTAATTTATTGAATTAATTATTTGCATGCAATTAAAAATTAATTTTAAACGATGCCAAAGAAGGATAACTTCTCACGCGCCTACATAAGTACACGCACCCATTTTTTTTTTAATAATTAATAATTGGCTGTAGCAAGGTAATGACGTAGAAGTAAGAGTGTTCATTATTTTCAGGATTGTAACTTTATCAAAAGTTCCTGAGCCTTTTTTCATAGAAATTATAAATATTCAGCCATTCAGCATTAAATATTACTAAATACAATATTAATACATTGCATTTGCTTATACAAAATTTTACCATGTCCTTTGTAGGTACGCAAATAAAACTTCCGTATCTTTTTTGCGTTAACTCTCGATATTGAGTTGAGTTGAGTTTTGAAAAGATGTTCTTTCACGTCGTGCATGCAGTTTAGGAAATAGGTATCCGGCACGGTGTGGCTTGCGGTTTAATTTTGGGCCGTCTTGTACGATTCCTAGGAGACGCTCTTATTACGAACCAACGTGACAATGGGTACGTGGCATCCATCCGTCCACTTCATAAAATGAAAGGTACAAAGTACAAAACACACCACAGATTGCAGGTTATCAATCTTAATGCATAGATCGGGTGGGTACCATATTGCACAGACTACAATACTCGTACTCGTACGTAGTATTTCAGATACTACGTATATTGACATTGGTGTCGATTCTGAAATGATTCTCTGAGCCTGAATATGGATTTGACGGCAGTGTATCCTTGTCATTCTCTATACAAAATGATAGGGAGGGACTGGTGTTGGGTTTGGTCTTGGGTTTGGAGAGTCATGACGGAGTCGGCACCATTACCGGATGCGGTGCGGGTGCGTTCGGAGTGCTACGCTGCATTTATTGTATTTAATGTGTATATATATATACAGGGTCACAGGGAAAGTCGTACTGAATATTGAAGGACGTTATTATTCAGGTCATTTCTGATGGATTTGGTCCTATAATATGGTGTCCGAAACTTAACCGTTATGGAGTTTTTTGATATTAAAGATTTTTTTAAAAAATCCTATATTTTTTGGGTTATTGTCGATTTTTTTGAAACTAGAGCTCCAAAGGTCCGATTTTTTAATGTATCTAGTTAGAAGACATGTCAAGCAATAAAAATAATGAATAAAAACTGAACCTACTTCTAACGGCTTAAAAAAACTGCTCGACAACGGTTATAACTCAAGAATTTTCACCAAGTGTCCTTAACATTGAAGCGCTTTTCTAAAAAAAAAATGTATGGAACTTATTCTGCAAATAATTTTAAAAACTTCTACGTCTCTTTAGCTATTCAAAAAGGTATAACACTTGCTATTAAATTGGCAAAACATTGACCAAATAACAGTTATGGTAGCAGAGGGTACATTTTTAGTTTGAGGTAAAAATAGCAAAAATACGTAAATAAAACCAGAAAAGCTTTTCATATGACCCCACACATAATAATGAAAAGCCTTGTATACGACCAGATGATGCCGATCGCAAATATCGATATTTTGCAACAAAGGATTATTGATGCGGCTGAGGATATGAGGCGGAACTTAAAAAGTAATTTAAGAAAAAGATTGAGAATATGTGTTAGAAATAGCGGCGGCCATGTTGAACATGAATTATAAAAATATTTACTAAGCTTTTGTGAGAGAGTATTCTCCCACTGTGTCAGTATAAGCTGAGGCAGGGTCCTGATTGGCCGTCTTAGTTTTATGTTGTTATTTTTTGTTATTAGGTTAAGTTCTTCTTTTATTTTTTGTTTATATTTATAGTATTTTTATTATGTAAGATGGCCAATAAAGGTTTTTTCATTTCATTTCATATTGAAAGATATTTAATACGCTAGAATACTTCCAAATCATGAACCAGATATTATTTTTTACATTTTAATTCCATTTTTGATTTGGAAGACGGTTTTATTTTTTGTTTAAAAAATTTTAAACAAAAAATAAAACCGTGTACCGTATACCGTCCAAAATGATTGTAACAGTCGGAAACCGAGTATTAACTGTTTCCGTACCATGCGATCTTGATACCACAGTTACTGTGTACTGTTTTACCGTGTTAATACCGTCCAAAATGATTTTAACAGTCGGAAACCGAAATCATCTCATTGTTGAGAGTTTATAGTACCTACAATTCCTGTAAATGTAAGTAATTATAGTTTGTCTTTAAGTAAATAAAGTTTAATTAATAGATTTTCGCAATCTATAAACAAAAAGACATTTTATGCCTAAACCTGTGTAATTATTTACTTAATGAATCATAAAAAAGCAATATCCACTTTGATAGGTCTTATCGTGTATGTAAAACATTTCACCTTTGTGCCACCGATGTGTTTATAATAGGTATTAAGATCCTGAACAAACATATTTAATACTTATAATTTTTTTTTGAAGCATTTAACTGCTCGATGTTTAAATCTAAAGGGAGTCGTCTGCTGCCTGGTCCGCGTGGTTTTTATTCTAGTAATATTTTCTTTAGATACTTAATACTGTATGAAGGAGAATCAAGGACACACCACTTCGCATGCCTGTTTGTGAATATGAAAATAACTATATTTTTTTATTCTTTATTTATTTAGAGGCTTTCATTCTACGAATATGCCAGCCTCATCGTACTCTAAACAAAATGTATACAGAACTAATTAATTTACATTTGAGAAGTCGAGCTATTATTAGAGAAAACTATATCAAACATCGACTTTGCTGCGTCTGAGTTAGGTTGAGCTAATATTTTCACAAAGGAATCTGTATTCCCAAAGTTAAGTCGATATTTTTGTTGAATAGCTCTCTCTTTCTTTCTCTTCTGTTCTTCACACATTCCATCGAAATGTGTTGGATATCGTCCACTTTGTTACATTGTTCACAATTGGGAGAATCAGCTTTCTTCATCAAAATCCTAGATGGATTATCGTATATTCGTATAATACCAGATCGTAATATGTGAGCAAGGACGACAAGGCCTAATACCAATTTAATGACTTCTAACTTCACAGTAATTTTTCGATAAGAGCAAGAGTCTATTAGTCCTTAATTTGTTGTTAGTTAAAAATTATATTAGCCAACAGACAGTGAAATAAAAAACAGTACCTATAACGAAACAGTAGTTTCCAGCTCAGTTTAATTGATCTTTTTATAGACCAACATTTATTAGATTATCGTAAAATTCTCAACATTAACATTTTTTTTTATATTTTCCGGTTTTGTTCAGATAAGTTACTGATAATGGTAATTATTATATGTAGTTTGAGAGTCGCGCTTTATGTTAATGATGATGTAACTTTTGTATATTTTTCAGCGTGAGCATGGTCGTCATGTGGACATGTGGTGACATATTCAAGACTGCATATTTCGTAATAAGAGAAGCGCCCACACAGTTTTGGGTGTGCGGAAGTCTTCAAGTATCTCTAGATATAGTAATTCTCTTCCAAGTAAGTTAATTTATTAGTAGAGATCGGACAATTGTTTGCATATTTACCTAAAGTATTTGTTTTTCTAAGAAATAATGGAAGCGGCTTCTTAGGATATTTTTATAAGAATAATATATCCGGTATAGCATAACTATTTGGAAGTAGATTTCCCTTGGGAAACAATGACATAGGGGAGGGCACTGGACCCAGTTGGCCTGATCCGCACTGGGCTCTTCCACTCTGGGATCTCCAATGCGGATTGGTGGGTAGGATACTTTTATTATGGAGGTCTGTTTACCCGGGCCAATATAATCTGGACATCTTCAAGGCCAGAGTGAATAGGCAGCTTCTAAGCAGTCGTGTACCATCTTAGGCCTCATCATCGCTTTCCATCAGGTGAGATTGTGGTCAGACGCATTGCTTATTGCAATAAACAAAAAAAAATTAAAAAAAAAAGAGTAGAGAGATTGAGCCAGGACTCGCCACATGGGCCCAGTGCGGATTGGTAGGTGGTATATAAATATTTTTAACTTCGTTCCATCCGTGTGTTCCACGACACTCGTGCATTTTTTTTCAGTTACCACAAACAAAATAAATTTTGGTTTACTTTCTGCGAACGACACCCTTTCCACGCGAGTTGAACTCGCGCTTTTTTGAAGTACATTCCGATACTGATTATATGATAATACTGAGCAAATAGATAGCAGCAGCCGCTGTCACTTCGACGTCCATCTTCAACAGACGACGGCGACATAAATGAACACGACACGATTGTGTCGATAGCCACTTTTTTGATCGCCCATCATGGGCCATTGTGAACAGGCGCCTTACAGTTAAATTTTAATTTTTCATTCGAGTACGTGTGTATGTATGTAAGGTATAAGAGAAATGGTGATGTGGTTAATAAGATAACATAAATGTATATAAATTTCAAGGACATCTTACACAATATTTTTATAATATATACACAGGGCAACTGTCATTTATTTTGTGTTTATGGGTTTATAAAATCTCATACATAAGAGTATACATACATATAATTTGAATTGAATTTCTCGGAATCGCGGAAATTTTTCGATTAAAATTACTTCATAATAGCCAACATATCAGTTTTAGGTAAATATGCATACGATTATCCAATCTCTATTTATTAGTTATAATGTGAATCTAAATGATATTTTTTTTTATTACAACATGAATTAGGTAGGCACATATATTAGAGCTACATACATTTATTTAGAGCTCATTCGAATTAATTTTCCAGTAGTGTCGTTTGTTCTGAACAAAATATTCTATAGAAAACAATAAAAGAAGCTTTTTTTAACTGATTGGTTTTGAAAACCTCCCATAGCGTGACCGCCACCGCTGTACCGAGCCGTAGGAACGCGCGGCGAGGAGGGGAACGGGAAAGAAAGAGCACGATTAATAATAATAATAATAACACTAGCTTCTACTTGGCGGCTGACTACAGTGTTGCCAGGTCTGATTTTTAAAAATCGGGACGCGTTATAGAAAAAAACTGTAGATGTATAGAAAGAGCTACAAGAAGCTCGTTTTTTATGGACAATTACATATATTTTATAATAATTAAAGTTACCTACATTATTAATAGCGGAAAATGCAACTTAACATGCAATTTAATAAAAGAAAATTGTATCCTAAGAAAAACAGTATATTCATGTAGAAAAACAGTAGAACAGGAGAAATTTCAGAAAAAGAGAAGATCGGTAAAATCAGAAGACCTGGCAACACTGGCTGACTGGCATAGCGGTACGGGCCGATACTATCCCCCGTCTCGGCGCTCACACACCTAAAGCGCGGTACAGCGGTTGCGGTCAAGTTATAATAGACTTTTACAACATATCTATTTGTTAGAGAAAGCTAAAAATCATTCAGTACCTACCTATACTTACAAGAAATTATCATCCAATCATCAGGTATGGCTGTATCGCCACAACACGGCGGCGGCGAGACGCGTGCGCCGCGGCGACTAGCAGTGGACTGAGACCGACTTATAGCAGGCGCCAAACTACCCGCGCCATAATACTACGGTATATCGAACGCGCCAAACCACTATACTCCATCGTTCGTGTCAAACGACTACACTATATCGAACGCAACCAACAACTACAATACATCGAGCGCGACCAACCACTACACTGCATCGAGCACGCGCCAAACTCGACCGACCTAGAGGTTTATGACGAACATGCCTAAACATTATGTATTTATACTATTTATACAAGCGCTATCTTTGCTTGTTGTTGTGCTCAAACATTTTCAGAGCAAAAGCACAGTAAACCAAGGTGTAGATTATTGTGACCATAGACTTAATGATCGAAATTCGTAGGTACAGCCCTATCAAAATAAATTGAACAATTAAATGCTCCGATTTTATTTTATATAAATAAAATCAATAAAAGTTTTTGCTTGCAATCGCTCTCAAAATTTTTGGAACGGACTGTAGATTGAATCTCGGCGAGTTTAAGTGACCAGTCGTAGTAATGATGAATAGTGGAAACGTCGTGATTCGTCGTAGAATTAAGGGAAGTGTTTTATATCGCAAGATAAACAACGTACGACGACACCCGATCGAATATTAAAATGGGGTGTAGTAGAACAAAATTATTGAAAGAATTTTTTCTCATGATACTCGTACTTCGGAGTACGTACCGAAGATGCGGTGCTAAAGGTGTGTGCCTAAAAGTTATAAAAACAAAACATGACCAACGATGTTTGTGAATATGAGAGATGAGATTTAGGAACTTTTAATATGAACATTTGAAGAATTTCGAAGAAATTTAAAAATTTATAGGTGTTTTACTAGTCGTTGTCTAGGCAAATTAAATCCTACTGTTAATACCTGCCAATACCAATGTTAGATAGTATTTTTGTCAACGAATATAATACAGAAAATCAAATCAACCCATGAATTAATAGATACTTTAATAGTCAATTCCAGTACTAGACGATTGTATTATTATTTAATAGTAGTTTCCTTAGAGCGGGAGCATACGATGCGTTGAGGCGCCGGAGCGGTGTCACTGCGTCGTGCTACATAGAAATATCTGTGGCATGTCACACGATGCGCTCCGGCGCCGCACCCGACTTGCAACCCCCGAGACGAGGCGGGGAGGGATGAATGCGTTGCGACATCGGAGCGGCGCCGCTCAGTTGTTTATGTCATAGAGAATGTATGCTGCTGGGTGTCCGCGGCGCCGCTGCGACGTAACAACGTTGCGGCCCCGCACCGCTCGTGTGCCCACCGATGTGGCGAAAACATTGCGGTGCGGCTCCGCAACGCATCGTGTGCTCGCGCACTCAGTCATATGAAATAAGTACAAGTTGTTTGCAGTTTTCAGTCTTATCTATTATTGAAAATGCTGAACTAAAATAATAGGTATTGAGAACTGCCAATCAGATTCGTTACATTTGCTACAATCTACAACAATATCCAAAACTGTAAACTATCTGCTATTGATTTGAAACTTATTTCTCAAGTTCAATAATTGTAATCGCTGCCAAAAATCGCAAAAAACAAGGATAGGCTGATGGAATTGCTTTATACACATAAGAAGGACGTATGTGTAGGTAAAGGTACCTTATTTTTTCTTGTTAAGACGATTATCTTGTGAATGAGTTGTAGTTTTGCGATGCTTGCGTTAATTCCAACTGTGATAAACCTAATAATCACGTACACAATTTCATCATTCCTAAATAAGGAGACCGCAAGGTATTTTTTACTCTGGCAATGTTGATAAAATAGAGTCAAACTGTTTAGATATAATGCTTGTAGAGTAGGTTGATTGACCGAGCGGTTAATAAATTTTTATTGTGGTTATTACTTTTTTAGGAATAAGCTTGGTATTTTAATTAAATATACGTAGATATATAGATGCAGCGATTGAAAAAACTAATTATAGTGGGAAAACATCGGAACTTTAAATAACTACCTACTTAAAGTGAGGATTGTTGAGAAGAAAAAGTGTTGTGAAAATGGTTTTTAAGTTTCATTTAAATTCATGCCATAGAGAATTATGAAATTATATATTGCGATCAGAAAGCTTATTCCTGTTAATGGAAAATTTGCAGTTGAAAATATAAACATCTCTTATTCATAAATTGAAAATCTTTATAATAAAGTATAGTAAATCTGTTGCTAATTTACAAGCGAAACTTAGTTAACATAAAAAATATAATTAAAAATTTAAATCAGTTGAAATGGCTTCTGAAGGTTAAAGAAATATACACTTAAAAAATGTTTATAGCGTGTGAATTAAGTACGAGAAATATCCAAGCAATATATTTCCCATTATTTATAAGATAACAAGTATTATAGATGTTTGTGAGAACTATTTTAAAGCAATTCTTTATTCCTTTAATGTTATAGCAGTTTATATATATTTTTTACTATTAGATATCTGAACGATTTGAATAAATACTATTTGAGTGCGAGAGTTAAGTATATAGATTAATAGATAGTATATTAATTGCATTTAATTTAATTTCTAAATCGAATTAACAAATCGTGCTGTTGACTCCTAAAGGTTAGCTATTTATTTTAGATAGATAGATTAACACTTTATTATAACACCAAATACATAATTACGTAACATTCACAAACAATAATATTAACAAAAGCGTTATAATATTTTACTACATAAATTGACAGTACAAATAGGATTCTTCGAAGTTGGTGTTCCGTATTCCTTTCATTATCTTCAGTCTCGATGCCTTTTCCTTAAAAATGCGATATATTGTTGTTAATTGCAAAGTTCATTAAGTAACGAAACGAAACTACCTATTTAAAGTTTCTTTACCTTGAACCAAAATGAGAATACTTAAATGCCAAAATTTCTCATGCAAATTTGAAAAATGCAAAGTCGATGAGAAATCATATGTACAGTTTTCTTTAAACTGTGTCCTGATAACTGCACGTTATTTTACACGGTTATTCCGTTGGTTCACATTAGCATTAGGGATGATATTTCTTCCATCGAGAATAATCTATGTATTTATAACTATTTAAGGCCGCCAGTCAATTTTTAGAAGTCATGATTAATATTAACACGTGGGATATAATGAAATTTCTAATACCTATTAGTTATACCCACTTGCTTTTATCAACAAAATCTTATTAATTTCTAGACAAAAATTTTGGGTTTTCTTAGAAAAGCTTAATTACCGGCCAGTGTGTGACATTATTGAAATCTGAGTATTTTATAATGCTCGTTTAGTTGTCAATTTTAAAAAAGGTTCTAAACTAAATAGCTATCGTATCAAATAAGCAAACCTTACTTAGCTGAACGAACAGCTAGAGATTGATTATTTCCTACGGGTTCAGATGCTTTATTATGCTCTGACTTCATTAGTGCCGACAAGTTCACGAAAAAGCTCTTTGTCGGCATGTCTCAAGTCGCGTCGCTTCTTCGTCCCATAAAGTAGGTAATACCTAAACTACACTAATTTTATGGACGTGTATTCAAGCAAACTATTTGAAGTTTGATCTTTTTTCCTGATTTTGATCATTATAAGTATTGTAGTGATATATTTAAGAATATAAGTAAGTAGTCGAATATTATGTGCTATACCGACGTGTACAAATTCCAAGTTAGTCAACAATTGCAAAGTATATTGTTTTTTTTTAACCTGAATATACGTTATTTTTAATTGATTTTTTTTAAATATCGTTGTGAATTGTAATGATAATATTTTGAAGTTAATGTTAAATTATTATTATTTAGTAGAATTCGCTAATGTATATAAATGATTATTATAATTAAAAAGCTTCTCTCCTAAAACAAATTGAGTAATCATATATTATTAAGATAAATAATTATTTATTTTTAATCACCAGAGTTATAAGTGTTATAGACTTTGAAGATTTATATTATCTGTATGTCCGTGTGATTCCATAATGAAAGAAAAGGCACTTACATTTAAAGCTTAATTTCTCGATTCCCTAATTGTCAACGGGGTAAGGTAAATAATTCATGATGAGATTGTAATACCCTGACAAAATGTATGTTATGTATACAAAACAGGTCATGGTTTTCTTTTTAAACGTTTTAAAATACACTACGTTTACAAATAGCTAAAGTGGTTCAGATAACAAAATATTTTTTTTTATTTGTGTTATCCTGACGTTCTGTTTCCCGTTTGTTTCAAACTAATACTAATGTATGTAATAACGTAATAATATTTTTTAAAGATTGCAATTCTAATTGTATAGAGATAGAAAGAGAGAGAGATATATATACACTTATATCCTCATAGGTTACCTGTTTTTGCTTCCAAAATTAGTATATATTTTTTTGTAATGGTAATACTGATTAGTTGTGTGATAAAATTTTGGAGTCTTCCTTGGCTTTGCAATATATCTATATTATTGTTTTATTTGGTATCACTTTCTGTGTTTTTTTTGTTTAAATGAAATAAAACTAATTAAACAATGATTTTTTTCGAAAACAAGTATAGAAATAAACAAATACTTTTATTTATTTTATACCTTTTCTAGAAAAGTTTTAACTGCCGGATCAGTCATAATCATAACACAAATACCTAATTTCTAGTTTAAAAACTTCCGAAAAGGCCATTAACGAACACATCCCGAGAGAATTGTAAATGTGTGACGAAACATATCATATTGATATAATATTGAATTTGAATAGTATATTGTATTGTAATAAAATAATAAAGATTATATACTTATTATAGTGCGACAAGATTTTTTTTTATGAATGTGGCAAAACTTTGAACTAAAGCTTCAGTCACACACAGTGAATACTCGCTGCGAATAATAGGCGCAGCCACAATTCGCTGTCTGCCTGTCGCACACAGCGAGTTCTACACGCGAATTTCGACAGCCAGTTGGTGCGCAAATTCAAATATGTCGTCTGTCATGCGTTTTCCTTTAGGTTAATCTTTAAAAAAAACTCAATTGTGCCCCAGCCCCAGCTCCTACTCCATATCCATACCCAAGAAATTCCTCATA